ATGTATGTTTTTTTCCCTATTTTTTTTAAATTCAAGTTGATTTACAATGTTTTATTAATTTATAATGTTGTATTAGTTTACAATGTTGTATTAGTTTCCGGTGCACAGCATAGTGATTCAGTTATACGTATATATGCATATATATTCTTTTTCATTACAGGTTACTACAAGCCATTGAATATAGTTCCCTGTGCTATACAGTAAGAGCTTATTGTTTATCTACTCTGTATACAGACATAGAAAATAAACTTATGGCTACCAGAGGGTGAAGGGGGAAAGGAGGGATTGATTGGGAGTTTGGGACTGGCAGATACAAGCTACTGTGTAACTCTGTCTATTGATGGATGTTAACTACAGATGGTCCCCAATTTAAGGATGGTTTGAGATACAATTTCTTAACTTCAGGATGGTGTAAAAGTGATCAGCATTCAATAGGAACCATACTTCGAATTTAGCATTTTGCCCTTTCCCCAGGCTAGCAGATACACAGTATGGTACCCTCTCCTGGTGCCGGGCAGCCGTAGCTCCAGTCAGCCACTCCATCACAAGGATAAACAACCAATACACTTACAACCATTCTGTGCCCACACAACCATTCTGTGTTTCACTTTCAGGACAGTATTTGATAAATTACATGTGATATTCAACAGTTTATTATAAAACAGGCTTTATGTTAGATGATTTTGCCTAACTGTAGGCTAATCTGAGTGTTCTCAATATGTGTAAGGTAGGCTAAGCTAAGCCATGATGTTTGTATTAAATGCATTTTCCCATGATATTTTCAACTCACAGCAGGTTTATTGGGAAGTTACCCCATTGTCATTAAGTTGAGGAAGATCTGCAGACACAGTCTTATTTTGGCAATCATTTCTATGTGGGAGAAGGCACAGGAACTAAGCCAGCTTGCTGCTATTCTGATTACAGTGCATACAAATATCGAATCAGTAGGCTGTACACCCGAAACTGATATACTGTTGAACATCAATTACCCTCCCCACCCAGAAAATCAATCTTTCTCCATCTCTCCATTCCGATTTCCTCTGGGTTGGCTCTCAGGAGGTCTGTTGGTCATGAGTGGCCAAGGTAACCACCAGAAACTCCAGGCTTTCATCATCTTATTACCCTAGCAACCCAAGGGAAAGAAATGCTTACTATCGGGTTGAAATATATAAAATTGTCATTTATGTAGGTCAAAATAGTTGAGTAATGGCAATTTTGTATGTTTCAACATAATAGTTCCAGAAAAGTTCCTAAGACCTAAAGTTCCTTAGTTCATCTTACATCTCATACCCATCATGAAACCAATCACCGTGGCCTCTAGAATGGAATACTTTATTGACCAGGTCTGAGTCATATGCTCACCCCTGAGCCATGTGACCAAAAGTGAGAAAAGACTGGCTTCTCAAAAGAAATTTAAGGTGCTATTATCAGAAAAAGGAAAATAAAATCAGAGGCGGCAAAGCACCAGATGCCCACTGTGCGTGTGCATATAACAAACACCAAATGTGGGGGTTTACCATGAAGGTAATGAAGCCTGACTTCAGGGAACCTCATTGCATAGGCTCCTTCCAAGACCATGTACTTAATTTTGTATTTAAATTTTGGATTCTTTTTCTTAAAGAAGGGCTCTCAATTATATAAGCTTTAGGACTGACAAAACCTGGAACTGTTCCTAATAAGAAACACTCAAAAACATTTGTGAAATTAACAAATAAGTGTTCCCAATATATTGTACTTTTTCCTTTTTTTAGTTAGATTATTAAGTAGTTTATTCACTAAATTCTTCACAGTAACTTAATGTTTTTCAACACTAACAGAATATAACTTGATCATTCCTTTCAGATCTTTCTAACTTCTCAGAATTCAGCAACTTCATGTGTTTTTCTGTGCCTCTGTCACTGACCCACACAGGTGAGGTCCTTGTTGATTTTGTCCAGCCCCGTTTGAGATATGCATCTCTGGGTCCCACTGTGGTTCTGATAGCGCTAATTAGAAGAAATTTACCAGTTTTTCATATGCGCTCTAAACTAATATTCATTTTTTAAAAACCTAAATCAAAACAAATCCTCTAAAATTACCATAATGAGGACATGAAACTGAAGGTGCAGCGTATATTGGAGTGAATCTAGGATGTGAGTTGGGTCCAAGCTGTATAACTGTACAGGACCCATTACAGAACTGTGCCAAAATTGGGGCTGGATAACCGGAAAATGTATCCTTGTGGCTGGGGTTTCCAACTGCACTTCACCCTTCTATCTGGCAGTCAGACAGCCCCGGGGATGTAAATTCACACTGTTTCAAATGTGGGGGAAGGTGAGGGAACTGCGCCTGCCTGCTGCTATTCTGATTACAGCATTTGTCCCTGGGAGAGACAGCTCTGGGATCCATGCTATTTTTCATCCTTCTCAGGAAAATGGCTTGGGCTGTGTATTGGGGAAGGCCAAGGGGCACCAGCAAATGACAATTTCTGCCTAATCCCTCAGCAGTTTCCCAAATCTGTAGTCCTTCCCATGTGCCATTCAGTTTGACCCTCACCCTACCTCCTGCAAGAAATGTGGCATAGAAACAGGGCTGTGCAATTGTGTTGCCTTTTTTTTTTCCTTTTAATTTGTTGAAATTGTCTCTAGGCAGAAGAAGGGGGGAGTAGAAACCAGATGGTTGTAGCTGGAGTAGAAGCCCACTCCTGAGGAGTTTGGAGATGCTCAAATCGGGTGGCAGCCAGTATTTCCCTGCAGGGAAATGGGATGAAATAGCAGAGTGGTGGCAAATGATTACCAGTGTCCTGTTTTCTCTGTCGTAGGTCCACACATATGTAAAATGCAGTCCCCTTTCCTTTAATTCTCCAAAGCACCTCCACCCTTGGGTTGGAGCAGACTTTTCTTTAAGTTTGATAGTAGTTAGTGTTAACAAAAAGGGTCTATATCATAAGACCTAATTTACAAATGAGTATTATCCATCCTTCCTTAAAGCCCCTCCCCTTAGTCTCCCTGTATTTTCCCTCAGCATCCCAAACACTCACCAAATCCCAGAAAATTTCACCAAATCACCTGATGTGTGCCTCAACCTCTCCTCCCTAAACACATCAAGTAGGGAGAAAATTAGGCCTGAGGGAAAGAGAAATAGAGAGCTGGCTTTATTGTCCTACATTTGGGGAGACTCAGCCAACAGAAGAGCCCTTGACCCTGGTCTCTGGACCACCTGAACACCTGGAGGGCAGGAGCACACCCTGAGGAATGGGGTGGGGGCTGATGCCTCCCTCCCCCACCCTTCCTTAGGGAAAACTGACTCTCAATCTTGAGTGAAGTACTATGCAAATGCAGCTGATTCTCCAGATATTCACCTGTTAAGGTTTTTTCCCTCCCCGACCAAATACAAGATATCTTTTTCAACACTGCTTCAACTCTCCAACACCAACTGAGTGTCCTAAAATTCAATACCCTGGGTTAGAGGCAGACCCCACCGGTTTAAGGGCTCAGTCTCACAGTTCTGCCCTCCCTACAGAGACCAACACAAGGATCAGGTCCCAGGGTTACCCACACTTCTGTCCAACTTGGCTACAAATGCAAAGTTTCCCACAAACTCCCCTCAGGTTCGATAATTTGGGAGAATGACTCACAGAACTTAGTTTACTTACCAGTTTTTTACAAAGAATACAACGCAGGAAGAGATGCATAGGGTAAGGTGGGGGCGGGGAGAGGCAGAGCTGCCACGCCCTCTCTGAGCAGGCCCACCCTCCCAGTAACTCCCTGTCTTCCGAAACCCAGATCCCCAAACCCCACCACTGAGGGGTTTTAGTGGAGGTTTTATTATGTAGGCATGATTGATTAAACTATTGGCTATTTAAATCAGGTATCAGATTGATTGAGTAAATCAATTTCCAGCCCCTCTCCCCTCTGGGGAAGTTGGATGAAAGTTCCAAATGTCCAATCAAGGCTTGGTCTTTCTGGAGACAGGGAGTTCCTATCCCCCTTGTCACTAAGAAAATTACCAGGGTTTTAGGAGATCTCTGCCAGGAGCTGGGGACAAAGACTGAATACCTTTCTTATTGTACCACCCCATCATGTTTACCTGCCTTGTAAAAATTTTCTAGCAATATCTCCTTAGGCTGTTAGCCTTCCTGGCTATTTCTGGCTCTCCCTCTCTGTGGACCCTCCATATCCCTTTAAGAGATTGACCAGAAACCTCCCTTTTGCTCTCCCTTAGGCTTCTCTGCACATAATTAGTTCCCCTGGGCAGACCTCTTTGTCTGTCCCCTCCAAACAAACCATTCATGGGAACAAGCATCTCAGCACACTAGAGTTGAATGCTCCCTCTGTCTCTCTTCCTCCCAGAAGATCCTTGGGATGTCAGTGGTGAGGGTGAATTTAAACGGCCCAGGAACTCACCGCAGGGCCCGCTTTCATGCAGTCATGCTCCCCAACTTCCTGGGCCACCTCCATTGGCCTCTGGGTCACTGATGTCCCATAAAGGAGACCAGTCACTCTGAGTGCCCAGGGAGGCCTGCTGGCTCTTACTTTTTCAAATCTCTGCTGGGAAACTCTCAGAGCTGGGGTCCTGAGACTCTGGCCTGGAAAACCAGGAGCTTTGCTAGTGAAGACGGGATGAGGTGAGGACCAGTTTGACTGAAGGCCTCCTGCGTGCATTCTGCCCCACTGTCTGCCGTTTCCCTCCCTGCACACGCTGAACCAAGACAAAAAACCAAAGCAACCACCACAACAAAACCCAGGGGAAGAAAGCTATTTTTTAAAACTGTTACTAAGAGATTTTCCTTCTACGGCCAAAATGTCACTCCCTTCTCTTTGGGCTTTGCTAATCTGTGGCCCCAGGTGAGAGCCTCAAATCCACACAGGTTGATCTGCAATTCGTGTTTAGGTCCTAGCATGTGGCAATGTGCTCCACTCTGATGACACTTTTCATTTCTAATAATAGAGCCGATGAAGTAATATTGCAATTGATGTTCCTGGGGATGTGATTGGATAAGTGCATAAACTGTGGAGGGGGGAGGGGGTTGTATGGATGGATCACATTAGTATTCCTGTCCTATCAATGTGCGGGGCCGCGAACCACGTCAGCCGGACCGACTCCCTGCGTCTGCCAGTCCCGCCACGGATTCATTTGGGATCCTCAAACAGACAAGCCCGTGGAGACGAGGGATCAAGACAGCCGATTAGAACCAATTGCCTGCTTCGGGGACCGCCAGCGCTTCGAGACCTGGTGACTGGGGAGGGAGGGGACAGACGAACCTAGCGCCGCTGCGGGAAGACACCGAAGCTAGAGCGACACTCTCCGCCCGGCTCCCCCATCTGGCAGCGCAGGCTGTGAAAGCTGCTCTCCCATCTGAATGGGAACTCGGAACCGCCGGGCGGCGCGTTCCTTCTCCCCCAGCCTTGCAGTCCATGCCGAGCGGAAGGCGGTGCGAGCCCGCGCCAGCGCCCAGCTCCCGGGACAGGGCCGGCAGTGCTGCTGATCGGAACTTGACCGAGCCCCTTCCTCGCTGCTAGTGGAAGCGATGCTGCACGGCACAGCCAGCGCTTCCCCAGCTCTCCTTCAAGCTGAAGGTTACCCACCCGCGCAGCCAGCCCCAACCCTGTGAGCGCCGCGCCTCGGGTCCCGGGTCCGGCTGCTCGGCGGCGGCGCGCAGGGCAACGAC